TCTGCTTTTGTGTTTTAAAGGTCACACATTATGAAAAATCCTCTTCACCATGTTCCTCTAACACAAACATGTGTCTCTAGTCTGTCAAACCCCCCAATAATGAGAAAAGTCCATCCTCTCCGTCTTCTGCCTGCTCCACTTTTCAGAAGATGTGTGCTCAAACAGGCTGTTTGGAGATTTTCCCTTCATGACATCACAAAGGGCAGTAACCCTTCCCCCAGGTGGGTGACACTCCCACAGCTAGGTGTTTGTTCTGTCCTCTGAGTCTGCCTTCTCACCGTAAACAATAGGACATGGAGCGAGAAAGCCTGTTCTGAGTAGTTCAGGAAATGAACTGGCAACTCTTCAGTAAAAGACTTTCCAGACTGCATCAGGATTTGAACCAGCAACCCTCAAATTCCAAACCCAAGTCCCTACTGCCGCCTAGGATTACTTTAAACCATGAAATCTGGTTCATCCTGATCCCAGCAGAGGGCTGACTCGTGCTGGATTACAGGGAACAAAGTGCAAGAAAACTAATAAACTGCCGAAACAAAACAACATTTTTACAACAGAGTTGATATTTTAAGACATTTTTTAAACATATTTTGCACTAAGAGGATGTTTTACTTCAGTGACAAAGTAGATAAGGTACATTAAGGTTGTAAAACAATTCACGATTCTTCATCAAATACTTCACCAAAAAGCATCTTAATCAAACAATAAATATTTCTTTAAAGGCTTTATATGTGATTTTTTGATCCAGCAGATGTCGCCCTTGAGCACCAGCATGAAACCAAAACAACTTGCGGTGCATTTTTGTATTAGCATGCTTATGCTCGTATCTTCACACTGCATGTAAATTTACCTGAAATGAGCGTGATCTAGAAACACAGTTAAGCAGTGAGTACAGTATGTTATTCTTCTTTTCTCTAGTCCCTCAATTAAACAACTTTTATACACGAGGGGAGGAGTCAGCCGGCCGTCCGGGCGATGTAAACAAAGTGAAGATAGGACTCTGAAAACTCTGAAAACATCACAGACAGTGGGACTCGGGTGTTACACCCATTGTAGACAGTCATGACTCACAGAGTTATTTTCAGAGGATATACTTGATTTATATTACATTTAAGTGTGAAAAATCTAATATAAAGCCTTTAAAGCAGCTGTGAGGATCGTTTAGCTATAGGATGAATGTTGCGCCCCCTGTCGGCAAAGTAATATAGTGTGAAGTCCCCTTTAGAGCACTGGTAATCCGGATTGGTGATCCTTAAGGAGGCTGTACCTGGATAAGGGTGATCCCATCCAGTTTTTCTTTGAATAACCAGGATCACAGTGATCTGGATTATGTGATCCTTGGTAGGAAAAAAGGGGTTACCAAATCCGGACCATTTTTTACCGGGATAAAGTTTTGAATTGAACTTTTGAACAACAGGGCCCAGGTGTTAAACAACTGTGAACCAGGAGATGGCGACACTGGATTACACCTCATTCCATGGTGAAGAGTGATAACATCTGTGCTTTCGCAACATCCTCTCCTCTGAAACGGTTAGTATTCGTACGTATTTCTTCTGCTCTGTTTCTGCACCATGTCTTCCGCAGACCTGGGCCGGGCCCTTTGCATCATCACCGGGGCCTCCAGAGGCTTCGGCCGGACTGTGGCCCTGCAGATGTCCCGGTCTGTGAAGTCGGGCTCTGCGCTCGTGCTGGCGGCCCGCTCCGGTGACGAGCTGCGGGCTCTGCAGGTGGAGCTGTCCGGGTCAGAGGCAGGCAGAGCCGGACTGAAGACTGTGTGTGTGGTGGCGGATCTGAGCCAGAAGGAAGGCCTGGAGAGCGTCGTGAAGGCAGCTGCAGAGGCTTTTTCTGAGGACATGGAGCACATAATACTGATCAACAACGCAGGTAAGAAGAACACCTGTAGAGCTGTAAACTCAACAAGAGTCACTGAAGAAAAACGCTGCAGAAAATTCCTTAAATTCATCGGTAAAACTGGAAAACAAGTCAGGCTATCTACATGACTAGGGGAGACCGGGGCTGGTTGCAACACTTGCGCAATTCTTTGTTTTGCAGGAGACTATTTGGACAAGACCAAAAGTTATTCTTATATTAAACACATGATTTAAAGAGAATTTCAGAAGACATGATGATATTGCTTGAAGTCTTCCTATGATCTCCATATCGTCTTTTATTGCTTTAATGGATCTTAATGCAAATTTCCCCTCTCCTCTCCTCTCCTCTCCTCTCCTCTCCTCTCTCTCTCTCTCTCTCTCTCCTCTCCTCTCCTCTCCTCTCCTCTCCTCTCCTCTCCTCTCCTCTCTCTCTCTCTCTCCTCTCAGCCTCTCTCGGTGACGTGTCCCGCTTTGCCAAAGACTTCACCAACATGGCCGACGTTGACTCGTACCTGTCTTTCAACGTCAGCTCCTTCCTCTGCCTCACCGCCAGCATCCTGCAGCGTTTCCCACAGCGCCCGGGTCTGAAGAGGACGGTGGTGAACGTGTCCTCGGCGTGCGCCCTGCAGCCGTTCTCCTCCTGGGTGCTGTACTGCAGCGGGAAGGCCGCCCGACATATGATGTTCAGGGTGCTGGCTCAGGAGGAGCCGGACCTCAGGGTGCTCAACTACTCTCCAGGTGAGGAAGAGAATCGACCCTTTTTTCTCGAGTGGACTGGGTTGAAGGAAATTAAATAGGTGCTTTACTTTTCAGCTAGCAAGCCCCTTTGTTCAATCAGTACTACAGCACAGCACATAGCCTGCAGGCCGCCCCCCTAACAGGTGAACCAAGGTGAAACACTGAAATGTACGGATGCATGTCAGCTTAGGGCTTCCATAGTCGAGTCCTTTTCGGATCCTTTTCTTCTTTTACCCCTGAAGCTCATCTCGGTGTACGTGTGTGTTTCAGGTCCAATGGCTACGGCCATGCTGGAAGAGGGTCGGTCCAGAACAGGCGACTCCGGACTCAAAAAGCTGATCTCTGATTTATACTCTGATGGGAAGTTGGTCGCCTGCGAGGACTCCTGCGCTAAGATGATGAAGCTGCTGCTGGAGGACAAATTCAAGTCAGGAGATCACATTGACGTCTTTGATGTGTAGACCCGGCAGGACACATGGAGTCTGATTTAATGTGCCTTGATTTTTATTAAAACTGTTTACTTTTTTCATGTTACTCAGAGGATAGCTTTGCTCTTTACTCTTACTCTCCTTCAGCAGAGATCGACCATCCCACCACGTCAAGTTGTTCAACAGTTTTATAATTACTGAATGAACAGAATCTTAAATAAAAAAAAAAACAGCTTGCTGACGTTCACAGCTGACTGCTGATCAGCTGATGTCATCATCACAAACAGACGTCGCTTCACATGACGCTACACATGACGCTACACATGACGCTACAGGGGAAAGGAAGTCTCATGTCTCTTAAAATATATTCCCCGTCCCTCTCTCTCTCGCTCCCTCTCTCCCTCTCTCCCTCGCTCCGTTTCCTCGCGTCTCTCTGTGAATCTATGGTGGGAGGGACTAAGTCACAAGTGAGGGATACATGGGTGCAACTTAAGAGACTTGGGATGTACCCATTGAATGAATAAAAAGATGGACAACATGACAGCCTCCCTAAAAAAGAAGCCAAAACATTTAGAGCTCCCCCTACTGTCCTGCTGCAGTATAGGTCTTAAATCCCCCCTCCTCTATGGAAAGCGGGGTACAAACTACAAGATATGATTCCCCCCTCCGTTCAGCAAAGGCCTGATTATCTGTCCAGACACTCTGATTTGAAATCATAAATGTTAAACATGTTCAATATTTACGATCTTAAGTCCTGTTGTGTGGGCAGAACGCCGCAGACAGCCGCAGACAGACTCTATGATTTGTTATGTGGAACAGAACAACAGCCAATCAGGAAGCAAGCTGGCTGAAGCAGGAAGCACACCTAACATAACCATGGCGACGACCGCAAACGCGAAGCATAAAGTCAGAAATGGAAGACCAACATGTTGATTTGTGGCAACAACAGGAGTGTTTGTGTCGTGTAAAACAAAACACAATCCAGTTGGACCAAAAATGTTTACCGTACAGGATGTACCAGCTAACAGCTCGCCACCTTTAGATTCATGAGTGTAAAGAACGTTTTTGTTTGCCTTTTTGTTCAAATAAATCATTTGTTTTCTTTTCAGCAATTGGGTTCCAGTTCCTTATTTTATCTGTAACACGACAGTCTCTGCTGAAGTCTTCTGCCAGTTTTATGCCTTTTTCTTTTCCCAGCTGATTTTACTCCCCACTTTGAAGAGAAAAACAACCCGAACAGAATCATCAAGATCGATGTCGTGCAACAAATGGATCTAACTGTGAAGTGGATTATGTCATAAACTTGTCAAAATATTCACTATTTTCATACCTGTTGTACCACCTGTTGCAGAACAAAACAATCTTGGTTATTTTAATGATCGATAGTAGTTTTTAAAAAAAGAGTCGAAACAGGTATTGATATCATTTGACATTTAGAAGAATTGTTCTGTCCTATTTTAAGCTGCTGTAAAAGAGAGAGAGAGAGAGAGAGAGCACGATCCTAATGGCACAAATATGTTGGCAATGTTTCGCCGTTTGTGCAGTTCAGACAGTGTGCACGAGTTTGCATGAGATTTTTGGTCATTCAAAACATTAAATGACCCAAATAGTGGGTGCCAAGGACTTTTATATTTTGTGCTGTGGTATGAAAACAGGTATCGATGTCATTTGATGAAGAATTTGAGGTCTAAAAATCTGGTATTGTGACAACAGAAGACGATTAAAGGCAGAGGAAATGGGAAATGAAAATTCACATTTTGTAAGAACAAATTTAAAATGTAAGTGAACTTAAAAACTTGCATTAGACCTAATGGTAGTATCAGATATAACTAAAATACAATTTAAATGTTTTTATTCCCCCTTGGCAGAAACAAATCCAATATTCCTCCAAAGAGAATTTAGATTGTTCTGTATTTAAAATTAAAATGACATGATAATAATAAGTAGTCTTAAGTTTAATCAGTAATTCTTTAATGAATGTGATGCGGTTTATGAGGAATACCTGCAGCATTTTGAAACACTTTGTTCTGCCGGTAAATTAGTGTTAAACCGAGAGATGGCGACAATGCACAGCTTTCACCGCAGATTAAAACCCGTGAAGAAGAGAGATAACATCTGTGCCCCGAACTTTTCTCTACATCGTCTCACTTCGAGGGCTCTGTGCTGTATTTCTTCTGCTCTGTTTCTGCACCATGTCTTCCGCAGACCTGGGCCGGGCCCTTTGCATCATCACCGGGGCCTCCAGAGGCTTCGGCCGGACTGTGGCCCTGCAGATGTCCCGGTCCGTGAAGCCGGGCTCTGCGCTCGTGCTGGCGGCCCGCTCCGGTGACGAGCTGCGGGCTCTGCAGGTGGAGCTGTCCGGGTCAGAGGCAGGCAGAGCCGGACTGAAGACTGTGTGTGTGGTGGCGGATCTGAGCCAGAAGGAAGGCCTGGAGAGCGTCGTGAAGGCAGCTGCAGAGGCTTTTTCTGAGGACATGGAGCACATAATACTGATCAACAACGCAGGTAAGAAGAACACCTGTAGAGCTGTAAACTTTACCTCAATGAGTCAATGTTAGAGAACCAGTTTAAAGCTGGAAAACAAACTGCTGCTATGTGACTCAATAGGGGAGACCAGGGTGTCATTTCCATCTTCTGCAGGAGAGACTTTTTGAGGTAGACCAAATAATGGGTTATTAACATGCTTTATTAATAAGATATTAGTATGCTATATTATAAATAAACACCTGTGTAACCATACCCAGAAAACTTGAGACTGTTGTTTCAACGTTAAATCAAGACCGTCCTTTATGGCTCTAGTTTAGGTTGAGATTTAAATGAAATGGTCTTTTGTGTTCATTAAGGGGCCATGGAGTAATAAAAGTCTCTGTATGTGAAGTGGAACTCCATCTTATGACAAACATCTAACAACCAGACAATAAGGATGTCTAAATGTTATCAAAAGGCATTTTCTGACAGCAGGACCTTTTTTTTTTTTTAGTTTTAGGAACTGTTGGATTATTTCAGTTCCTTGATTCCCGCCTAGAGGAACCTTTTTCAGTCATTTTCCGTCATTGTACGTTGATTGGTCGAACACAAAATCCAATCAAGTATCACCAACCGCTATTTTTTAAATCCCACCATAAAACGTCCCCAAATAACAGTCGGTAAAAAAAACAAAAACAAATCATGAGGCCAAAAGAGTTCAAGCTAAATGTGAGCAGCACACAGAGTCCAAGACAAATTTCCATGTATTGTTGTCAGTTGTGTTTTTGCACAGCTGTTTTAATAAACAGTTATATTGTTTGTTACATGATCATTATTTTTTATTTCCGAAACATCGTCCCCTTCTTAGGACTTACTTTTGTTTGGGATTACTTTCTGTTCAGATGCTTTGATTTGCCTCACTCACTTCTGAAGGATTTAAAGTCATGTAGTGAATTCTTTCTGCCGACCAGCCCGGTCATGAGGCCGGCACATGTTGAGGTTTTCGGTTTGCAAAGAGGCAAAATTGTTAAAGTGACACGACTATAAGAAATACTTTAACATTTAATCCAAAGAAGAAGCAGAAACATGATCATTTATTATCCGCTCATTCTGAAGACATGTGTCATTACTTTAGGCAGTGATGAACAGAATAATCAGGACGATCACACATTAACTCTGGTTTTAATCTTTCCAGTAGTTTTAAATGAAGAATCTCTCTTGGGATGTCTTCGTGGCGACAGAGTTATGAGGAGTGTTTTTTGTTTTACTGGTTTTCAGACTGAGACTGAAGGATGATAAACCTCCAGGAGGCTGAGTGAGGGGGGACGGGGCAACCCGAGGTATGAGAAAGTAAAGTGTTCAAAAGTTCCCAGACAATCGAGATCATGATTTTTTTCACAATTAATCATGCAGCCCTACTCTGAAGTCCCAGACTAAGGAGTCTTATCTTCCTGACGGACACAGATTCACCTGCTCGTCTCACCTAATTTAAATTGATTTAGGCTCACAGTTTGCTCCGTCTGTGTTCGAGCACAGCCCTGTAGACGCCCTGGAGACCTCGTACCAAAAGTTTAAAACGAGTGTGCAGTACCAGGTCACATGACGATCTCCTCTCCTCTCCTCTCCTCTCCTCTCCTCTCCTCTCCTCTCCCCTCCCCTCCCCTCCCCTCCCCTCCCCTCCTCTCCCCTCCCCTCCCCTCCTCTCCTCTCCTCTCCTCTCCTCTCCTCTCCTCTCCTCTCCCCTCCCTCTCTCTCCTCTCAGCCTCTCTCGGTGACGTGTCCCGCTTTGCCAAGGACTTCACCAACATGGCCGACGTTGACTCGTACCTGTCTTTCAACGTCAGCTCCTTCCTCTGCCTCACCGCCAGCATCCTGCAGCGTTTCCCACAGCGCCCGGGTCTGAAGAGGACGGTGGTGAACGTGTCCTCGCTGTGCGCCCTGCAGCCGTTCTCCTCCTGGGTGCTGTACTGCAGCGGGAAGGCCGCCCGACATATGATGTTCAGGGTGCTGGCTCAGGAGGAGCCGGACCTCAGGGTGCTCAACTACTCTCCAGGTGAGGAAGATATATGTCTTAGAGTTAAATACACTTTGTAGTTGTTTATACTTTTAGGTTCATGTGTTGATTTATTCATCGTGTGTCTCTGTGTTGATTCAGGTCCTCTGGACACGGCCATGCAGCAGGCGGCTCGCTCCAGCACGGGCGACTCCGATCTCAAGAAGGCTTTCTCCGACATGTTCTCCGAGGGGAAGCTGCTCACCTGTGAGGAGTCCTGCACGAAGATGATGAAGCTGCTGCTGGAGGACAAATACACGTCAGGAGATCAGATCGACGTCTACGACCTGTAGGACGCTTCAGGCGATAAATGTGTGTGTGCCTTTTTTTTTTTAAATTCAGACTCTGTTCAGGAAACCGTTAACGCTCAGTGTTAGAAGTCGTAATCAGCCTCAGTTATTGTGAAGACGTTTTGGGTCCGTTAATCTTTGACTGGTCATTTCAATCTGTGGTGAAGTCTAAAGGTCGTAAACGTAATGTGCCTTACTTTAATTCAGGTCAAAATCTCAACGTTTGAGGACAGAGTTTTTAATTCTACATGTCGTGTTAGACACAGAGACTGCCCTCTACAGGTTAGACCTGCTTACTACAATTTAATTTCTCTGATCTGGAGGCAGGTGACTCCAGATCAGAGACATAGTCAGAGTGACTATGCGTTGCCAGCTTTCGTCACCAAACCCGATAAACACGACGTCACCTGACTCACAAACTATGGAGGAGTGAAGTGGATTGATTCTAACTGATGTCTAAGTAGCTTGATGTGAAATATGGCGCCCGTAAAGTGCGAAGACAAGACTATTTGTAACCAACTTCAAACCACATTTATGTCGTAAAAGTGTCACTGCTGCTTCATGAGTCATCGCTAATGGATAAATTACCTCGCTAAACATACTAATAGGTATAGACTGTAAGATGTAAGCACTTCAGCCAAAACTCTATGTTTAGTTACCCTTTAAGATATCTGTTGTTTATCAGTAAATGTGCCGTTTATAGATTATAGAGTCATCACTTTTTAATTCTACTTTAACGATGAACTCAGGCATTTTGATTTGTGAAAATAAAATGAATGGAGATTCCTCCGTTTTTAATTTTCCAATCACAAATATAGTTTACACATTCCTAATTATATGACGATATATGTTTCTTCCACTGTGATTAAAAATGAATGCTTTATAAAGATGAATACCTCAGATGTGTTTGTAACTCTGCACATGATGATGCAACTGAAATGATGTATTTAAATTTTCTTTTTCTTTTTTTAATCTTTCCATTGAAGCTGACGGTTGAAGTCGGCCGCTCTCATGAAAATAATGATTTATAACTTTGTTGTACCTTAAACTTATTCCATTTCTAAAATGTTTCTTGCGAATCAGGAATAATTCATAATAAAATTTTAATTCTAAACTCTGATTTGTTGTTTGTTTTGTTGGAGCTGAAAACGTGAAGTTCGACCTGAAGATGATCACAGATATAAAAAGCGTCTCAGTCGTCAGAATTAAAAAGTGTTATCTTGTATCATTTCTCTAAATTTGTCCATCATTGCACCTCGATCACTTCATCATTCAGTATTTGCTACCTGCTCATACCTCTGTTTATATTTATTTCCCGTTCTAATTTTTGTTCTCCATTGCACTATTTTCACTGCATATAGTTCTGTTTACATCTGTGGGTGCGATCACTGTCAACTGACCTCTCTACTCTTTTTATAAATTTTCTATTTTCACTTTTGTATTTTAACTGACACTTTATATTTTTGGTATATATTTTTAGTCTTGCTGTACCGTCATTAATTTACAGCTCTGTGTGCCTTTGAATTGGCCCCGTGGATAAATATATATTTTTTAATTGAATTAAATGTCTTACATTTTGTCACCACATGCAGGAATATCATTATTTTCTAGGCCATGCGGTTTTGATTTGTCCAAACGGTGACCTTAAATGCACAGAGTGCAGAGTCTCTGTGAGGTTGAAAATTAGGTTTATTGTGGTAAAAAAGTACACAAGGTCTTCATTGACGTTCTCCTGAAAATATCTTGAAATGTCACCAGAGGAGACTACCTGGGGAGGAGGCAAGAGATTACTTAAAAAGAACGACTGAGTATTAGGATATAATGAGTATTTTTGCATTTTTAGGAAAGCTATGTGAAGTTTGACACATGCACAATATCAAGAAAAGGGTGAAGAAGAACAAACTGGAGAACAGAAAACATAATGAAGCAGTTTCATTACGAACACAGAGAACACAACAGTCTTGTGCATACAGTCTGTGGTCATGTACCGGTCGCTGGATTCAAACATCACCACCTCCTCCATCTCTCGAGGTGAATTTTCCTGAATATTTCCTGCTGTGTTATCACTCCAGCTCAACCAAACTTTGTGCAGAAAATGAACTAAGCTGGAGTGAAAAATGTTTCTGATTGCATTCCCACATGCAGCTCATCCCGCAAATGTCAGGATGTTTTGGGCAAGTGTGAAAGCGCAGAGAGTGAACAAAAACAAATATGTATAGAGGGAGTGATCAAAAATGGGTCCATCATTACCAATCAATCAATGGATACAATGTTAGAAATGATGATAGTCAGATTTTTACAAAAGTAACATCACTAAAACGTGTTTTACTGTTTTGCACTAACAACAGTCAGAAAAAGTTAGCAACAAGCAAGTGAACCAGGGGCGTTTTCCAGGGGTATGGGCTCCCCTTGAAATGTTATTGGCCACCCCAAAATCCTTGACTATTATTGGCTAATTGATTTGCCAGAGGTGGGACTTATGTTGAAATCACCTATTCAGGCTGAGTTGCAACAGGCAGCTCTTAGTTTTCAGTGAGCAGATGTTTGTTTGCAGTTTTTAAAACACTTTAAATTGTGACTTTGGACGAACATCTTGTTTAGAGTCCTTGGAAGAATTCAGCTTAGAAGATGTAAATGTGCCGTTATCTTGTGTTACTTAAAAGTCGATGTGATTAGTGCAGACAGAAGGAGTAAATAAACATTCATGTGTGTGCACACAAACTTCAGGCCACCCCTGCACAAGTCAGCGCCCCAGTTGGGCTAACCCCAGTCCAAAAGGTCTGGTCACGCCCCTGAAGTGAACATTTAGCATCTAAGGATGGAAGAGGTGGAGACCAAAGTAGAGCTGAAGAAAGATTATCAGATTCAAAAAGATGGACACAAGTTGTGTCTGCTTTTTATTGGGACCTGCCTGATCGACTTTAAAAATCAATAATATGTCAATGTTGTATAAAAAGTGCTCTGCTGCCCCCAGGTGGCAAAAAACTAAAGACTGATTTAAAGGGCAGAGTGGTTGAGTGATACCGTCCACCTTCAAAAAAATACAGCACATACAGTCTCCTTTTCCTGTCATGTGTCTGACTGACGGTCACAGCTGCCCCAAGACCAAAATACCCCCCCGAAGAAACCAACCCAAAGAAGGGGACGACACCCACCAAGACCCCCTCAGAATCCCTCTACCGCACCCCCTCTCCTCTTCTTCTCTGGGGAGGTGGTACAACCTCAGAGGGTGCAGATTTATTTTTAGCTCCCTCAGGGGTCGGGCGAGTGCTCCTGAATGTTTGTGAGAATTTCTCCCTGCAGCCCGTCGAGTCCCTCGTCCCTCCCTCAGACGTGCCGTCCTTCCTCTCTCTGTCTCTGTGTTTTTGTTCTGACGGGACAATGACCGTTGGCAACATGGAGAGCGCCCAGCTGTTCGATGCCGGGAAGAAAGGTCGAGGCCTGAGGGCCACCAAGGAGCTCAGTGTTGGGGACGTGGTCTTCGCCGAGCCCAGTTTCTCTGCTGTGGTCTTCGACAGGTACAAAAGTGATCTTTTGTTTTCTTTAGATTTTAGGGACAGGTCAGAGGACGATCTTCTCTGACCCTCTGCAGGTGTGTTGTTGACAGCAGGTTTTCTCTCTGCTGTGACCTCATTTCTAGACGCCCAAGACACCAGCAGAGAGAGCTGTCGGGGTGTCATGTGAACTTGAGCATGACGTCCTTTTGGATTCAGTTTCAAAGGATCCTGACACCTTTCAAATTATTTCTTAAAACATTATCAAATCAGACCCCAGTGGTCTCAAACTGAGTGTGAACCAGAAGGTGTTACAATCTCTGAGATATCCGTCGAACCTCTTCATTTTCCATTTGTTTATACTCTACATGCTCCACAAGAAAAAGAGGTTTGACAAAAGACAGGAAAAAAAAAAAAGGTTTGTGTTGCTTTGTTGCAGATATTTGTTGCATGGAAACTGAATGCTGCTGTCAGAGTTTAGTTTGGACTTCGAGGACAGAAAGCAGACCTGCAGAGTCCTGACGCTTTGTGATGAAGCTGCGGATCACAATTACATTAATGCTGCTGAACCTTTCAAGACTAAGGAGGACATCTAAGGAGGACTTATGCATTTATAACCCAGGTTTTTTTTACATTTATGTGGATCTAAGTTACTTAAAGGTACAAAAACTTTTGCATTTTACAACTCGGAAACTCGTTTTTCCGATGTGTCTGACACCACATGAATGCACCACAAGAACTTTTAGTGGACAAACCTATATTGGGTGCAAAACATACTGTTTTTGTCAAAGCAGTCGGGTTGGTTCGAAGAGAGCAAGTTAAAAAGCCATTTCCAGTTTTGCAAAGGCGTCTTCATCTTACAATTTTTTTAAGGAGGAAGACGTTTGTTTCCCCCCAAGGAACACAATTTACATCCACTTTTCAAAGCCACAAAGCTCAATCATCTATAACAGGTCTTTAACCTTACAGTACACTTGAGTTGCTGGTCTACCAATGTGTGTGCGTGTGTGTGTGTTTGTGTGTGTGTGTGTGTGTGTTTGTGTGTGTGTTTGCGTTTTGATGTGACTTTCTTGATTTTAATGCAAAGTTCTGTTCAACACAATATTTATCCAACACAGAATAACACACACACAAAACAAAAAGCAGCATCCAAAGCAGAGGTACACCAACAACTCCTCATGTGCTGTGCGGTAAAATCACTGTTTTGGTCAGTGGAGTTTGGTGGCTTTGAAGAGAGAAACCTAATGGCTGTTTCTGGTGTAAAAAGGAGCAGTCTGTCCGAGGTCTGTTCTCTGTCCCTTTGGACTCTGTAGAATAAACTGTTTAAACACACACACACACACACACACACACACACACACACACACACACACACACACACACACACACACACACACACACACACACACACACACACACACACACACACACACACACACAGTCTGGGCTTAGAGGTGTCTCTGTGTTGTTGGTTCCAAACTCTTGAATAAAGTGGATAAAATAAATCAGTGTAATCTTGTTTAGACATGTCTCTGTACTTCACTGAAGCTTTGGACGCCTCCTGCAGGAGCTGTGGTGATGAAGTAAATATTTATATGAATATGTTTTATTGATGAGTTACTGTTTGATTCAATCTCTGTTTGTGAATCTTCTTCAGTGTGAAACCTTTTTCAGCACCTTCCAGGACTTCAGCCAGGACTCCCGTCTGTCTGTGAACTGTCGGAGCAAAAACTGTGTTTTAATATTTTATTGAATTTTATTGTTTAATGGTTCTATTTAAATGCAGGGTTGGTCTTTTTCTCCAGATCCACTTTTGTCTTGTTTGTCCAAACTTTTGTTTTAGGATTGAAGTCAGATGGAATCGAAAGCCCTGTACAGACCCTTTCAAGCTGCGACTGGTAGATTAAAGTGTATACATTCAAATCTCATCCAGAACACAACGTGCACAACACAAGATGAGTGAAGAAAAGACACGAGAATCAACAGCGTGTGAGGAGCTGTGCTGTCGTTCACACTGAACATTGAGGCTTAACTAAAGGTTAATCTACACTGTTAACCCCGAGCTAGCTTACCCATTAACTCAAAGTTAACAAGGGTTTTATGTCCTTTGAAAAAACAGCAGCAGCAGCAGCAGGGCCGCGTACAGAGAGAAACAGGATTTAAGCTCAATCATTCATTCTACTTTAGCTTGAGAGTTGGACAAATACTAAGCTTCGTCTTTGGTTAAAAAAAAGAAGAAAAATTAATCAAAGATGTGAGGAGGTTTTTTTCAAGCCAGTGATTAACTTAAAGGCAGGGTTGGTTATTTCCTCCAGATCCACTTTGGTTTTGGTTGAAATAGTCTTTAGGTCCTGACAGAAATTAATAACTCATGTTCTCTGAAAAAGGAACGAAGAAAATCCATCATCTGTATCAGTTGTCCCTGGACCACACATATTTAAAAGGTTAAATATGTGTGCTTTGTTAAGAACAAGCTAACGAGACCATAGTTCCTAATTCAGCCCTCAGCCCTTCGATCAGATTGTGCATACACATGACTTTGACTGAGACAATCACAGTTTCATAAACGACATTTGAAGTGTTCGCTTTGTTACAAATTCCACAAAACTCCTTTTGTAAAGTTTGTAAAGTTTCTCTGTTTGTTTACCAGTTTGTCCACTCAGGTGTGTCACAGCTGTTTCCGGCGTCAGGCCAACCTGCACCGCTGCGCTCAGTGTAAGTTCGCCCACTACTGCGACCGCACCTGCCAGACGGCATGCTGGGACGAACACAAGCAGGAGTGTGGAGCCATCAGGAAGGTCGGCAGGGCCCCCAGCGAGAGCGTACGGTGAGACATATCCATCATGCAGGGGAGCCCAGAGGACACAAGAGGACATGAAATTTGTCCAGTACGAGTTTATTTGTTCCCTCTGCAGCGCTTCATAACCGTACTTTGTGCTCAGTGCTAACTATTGGACATCAAACTATAAATCCATCTCTCCCACTCATACCACGTTGGCAAGCTAAATTGCTGAGCGAAATATTCCCCTATGAAACAACTTTTTCCAGTTCCTACAGTGCTAACTTTATCATAAGTAAATATGTGAACTTTAAGCACTGAAGGAAGTGGAGCTCAGATTTGTTGGACGTTTTATTAGAACAATAAAGCTCACAGAAGGACAGATTATTAGTCTGATAATCATATAATGAAATCTTCAGAGGTTAAAGTTCAGAGACTGAGTTAGCTGAGGTGACACCTAGCGGAGAGCTAGCGTCTCCCACCTGTCACTCAAAGGGGCCCCGCCCCCTAATTCTACATCCCTTTAAACCTTAATATGATGTAAACATGTGAGCTGCATAAAAATTCAGCCCATAGAGTTGTCATGTTTTTTATCAGGGGTGTTTATTTCTGCTGTAGAGTTTGACATTTTAACATGGGGCTCTATGGAGACCGACTCACTTTTGAAGACAGCCTCTAGTGGTCACTTGAGGAACTGCAGTTTCTTTAGTTCTTGTATCTTGAGTTAAGAATTCAGAGATTAAAAAACGAGTTTGTTATCAATTTATATAAAATCTGTCGGTGATTTCTCGCTCACTGTCTGTCTCCCGTCCAGTCTGGCTGCTCGGGTGCTGTGGCGTATTCACAAGGACACGGGCATCGCGTCGGACAGTCAGCTGGTCTCTGTGGACCAGCTGGAGGACCACGTGTCCGACCTGTCTGAAGAGGACCTGAAGCAGATGAAGACTAACGTGCAGAGCTTCCAGGAGTACTGGTCCTACGGCCGGAAGAAACACTCTGCGGAGGAAATCTCTCACATCTTCGGCATCGTAAGAATCAGTGTGGCATTAAGGACTGCAGATTGCATTTTGACACATACACGCACACACCGTCTTCTTCTCCCCTCTGTGTGTCTGTAGATCAAGTGTAATGGATTCACTCTGAGTGATCAGCGAGGCCTGCAGGCCGTTGGAGTCGGTCTTTTCCCAAATCTTTGTTTGGTCAACCACGACTGTTGGCCAAACTGCACCGTCATCCTCAACAACGGCAAGTAGGTACCCAAACGACCCGACAACCACACTAATGAGTAGAAGGCTCAAAGACGCAGGAACCACCCGTCTTCTTGTAATGGAGGAATGCTACCTGGCTACACTAGAACAATCACAAGACCAGGTTTACTCTGGATTTGCACGCCTTGTCGATGCTTTGTGGTAAAAGATCAATTGGATATGTGAAATGTTTAAAAATGTGTTAATGTGAATTCACTCTGTCTTTCAGCCAATCAGCTTTGAGTTCTGCTCTTCACTCTCAGAGGAGGTACGTCATATTCAATCCTCTCTCATAACAAAGTGAACCTCTAAACCAGTAGATACCGATATCATGGATGAATGCACCAAATTTAACAGCACAAACTGCTGCGCTCTGATCCAGCATTAGACTTGTTGCATGTATTAAAATATCAGAGACTAACTGCCCCCCTCTGCCTTAGGATCGAGCTGCGAGCTGTTGAGAAAATCCCCGAGGGCCAGGAGCTGACGGTCAGCTACGTGGACTTCCTGAACCTTTCAGCCGACCGTCAGAAGAAGCTGAAGGAGAATTTCTTCTTCGAGTGCAGCTGTGAGCACTGCAGCAAGCACACCAAGGACGACCTGATGATGGCGCTCGCAGACAGCAAAGTCAGGGAGGAGGGCAACTGGTTTTAGTAAATATACGCTCTTCTTTTTTGATTTATGATCATATTAACCCTTTGTATTCCTGTCTGCTCTCAGCCATCTGCTGATAAAGTGAAGGAGGTGACCGCCTTCAGTAAAGACAGTCTGGAGAAGATTGAGGGGGCCCGTGTGAACATGGATTACCACGAGGTATGAAACACTCACATCGTCTGAATGTCCTTCTCTGTCATTGTCCCCAACAAGTCCTCCACCGTGTTTGGTCTTTTTGTGTCTCAGGTGGTGAAGTTGTGTCGTGAGTGTGTGGAGAAGCAGAAGGACGTCCTGGCCGACACTCACCTCTACACGCTGCGTGTGCTCAGCACGGCCAGCGAGGTTCTGTCATACCAGCAGCAGTTCTCCGAGGCTGCGGTCTTGGCCCGCAGGATGGTGGAGGGATACATGTGAGTGAACACAAACGGGGACGACACTGACGAAATCAAACAAAATCATTGACAAATGAATGTTTAAAAACTCATCATATATATATCCAAAGAAACTTCCTCTGTTAGCATTACATCGCATCAAAAGACACAAGTAAATGACAAACAGTTTGGGAGTTGTTCGATTTTATGTCTTCAGCCTGCAGCTGTGAAATGGGCTGTAATTAATTCATTTATCCTTTATTAATCCCATGAGGGGAAATTCAGTTTTACTCTCTGTTTGATGAACATGCTACACAAACATAGGCCGAAATACACACACTGGCACCTCTCCAGCTACCAGACCAATTTCCAGACTTGGTCCATGCCGGGACTTGAACCGGCAACCCTCCGATTTCCTGTCAGGGACAAAAACAACAACCTTTAGTGGATATTCTTTGATCAGCTGTGTCAATCATGACATTTGATCACAAACCATCAGAGCAATCCCTAAAAGATTTGTTCCATAAATTAAAAAATACCTGATTCTGATTCTTCTCTGATCCTTTGCCCTCTGTGTCTTTTTTCCTCCTCTTCAACAGGAAGTTGTTCCACCCCTACAACGCCCAGCTGGGGATGGCCATCATGAAGGCCGGGGTCACCCACTGGCACGCGGGCCAGATAGAGGAGGGTCACAGCCTGCTCTGTCAGGCCTTTGGGATCCTCATGGTCACACACGGACCGAACCACGCCATCACCCAAGACCTGGAGGTAAACCACATTCACGATGTCTGGTGAGAAGATTCTAAATAATCAAGAATATTTACGTATGGTCGTTAAATATTTCCTTTTTGTTCTGCATTCAGTTGATGCGGGAGCAGACGGAGGTGGAGCTGAAGATGTTTAGGCAGAGTAAGGACCGGTATCACAGCATGAGGGAGGCGGCTCTGAAGAGTCCTGCAGCCGATGAGAAGGTCAAAGGAGTGTGATCATCGTGTGATTGGATCAAACCGCTCTGATGAGCTCATGCATGTCTCACTGTGCTCATGTAGGCTACACATAATGATGCACACAGTCTCTGCACCGAGGCTCTGAATGTGTCTGTTGAGTCACAACATGGTGCATGTCGAGGAAATCTGCAATAAAACAATAAAACAGGAGATTCAACATGTGTTGTGATCACTTGCATGATAACCAAGGCTAAGACATGAATGTGGAAATACTGAACTGCAGGAAGTTAGCTTTAAAAAGCAGAGAGCCATAACTCTGTACGCACATGAGAAGTCTTTTTTTATTATTTTCTCCACATCTCAACTTTTTTATTTCGTATCCTTAAGAGTTGCAAAAGCACAAAACAAACACAAGTTGTTCTCACATATGCACGCCTGAAATCCTCCTGATCTGGTTGTTCACACCTGCACCTCACAGCGGGAGACCCTCCCTGTCGGACGGGGACGGGTGAAGTTGTATATATCCTTTGACAAGAGCTCAACCAGAGACTGTCTGCACGCGACCAGAAAGATCTCAATGCACAAAACAAAACAGCTTCATTATGTTTTCTGTTCTCCAGATTGTTCTTCTCCGCTCTCTTGTTGATATTGGGGGAAAACATCTTGATTGTTACAACTTTACATAACTTATTAAATGAACATCAGGCAGATTGAAGAAGACTTGAAACTAAAGATTGAGACCATAAACTTAAGAGGAAATCATCTGAGAAGTAGGAACTTTTCTCCTCGAGTCGCCCCCTGTTGGCCTTTAGAAGTATTGCAGATTTAACACCTCTGTATTGGCTTCACTTTTAGCTCTGTATGTACACACACTTTTTATGCAACGTCCAGGTTTCTTACCTCGTGCACTAAAAGCTGTACTCTTCTAAATCTAGCATAGCACTTGTTGAGGTCGGTGGTTCAGGATCTGCTGCAGCTTACATCACAGTCGACAGCACGCGGTCCTCTGTGTGCTTTAAAGCTGGACTTTCAACTTAAACATTTTTTTTTCTGCACACAGAACCTTTACAAGAAGACAAAGTCCAAGCTGTAGTTTATGTGTTTAAAGGGGAATATCCCTAACCAAATATCACTGCTGTTTTAAACATTTGATGCAAAGAAAAACAGAAATGCCGAGAAATAAATCTGGAGATTGCATTTAATACAAGACAGAGATATCACGTCGGACAGAGTGTGAGACTGCAGAGAAAAGACTTGAAAAGAGGCCGCTGTAGAGCGAGGAATCACTCGGCTGGGTTGTGTCGGACAAATCCATTTGAAAAGGAGGACAAGAAAGAGTTTCATCGCTGACATAGAGATAAGAGAGAGAAAGGCAGAACGAGGATCAAAACCAGGAAACGTCATACAAACGGTATCAAAAAGCTGGAAAAGATTCTCCACAGTTCGTCATCACAGTGTGAAGCTTCTGCATAGAAGTCGACCGTGCTCTGATGATCGTGTGCGCGCTCACTGCTGTAGTGTTTATTTTATTGCTTTTAGCTGGAAAAGAAAAGACGTTGAATAAAGTATTTTTGCTGTGCTACAATTTAAAACCGATGTTTTGAACACCCCACAGACAGACACACAGAAATCCCTCATTAAATAAAAAATAATCTAAATAATATCAAGAATTAAGTAAACACGACAAACGGAAAAGTATTTTCCAAAGCCACTGCATGTCAGATATATTAAGAGTTCATTTTTTTTATAGTAAAAAGTCTTTTTGAAATCACATCTGAGAGATTCAACCTGAGATGAGATTTCAGATTTCGTACAAATTTCAGCTCAAATATTAAAGTGACCATGTTGGGTTCAGTGTCCTCTCCTGAGACGTCAAACTTCTCCTCCTTCTTCTTCTTCTGTCTCATTGGACGACGCAGAGCTCCGTGCTCGTCTCTGCAGCTTCCCTGTGAGTCCGGCTCTGCGCGTCTGATTCTCCGTCCTGCTCGTATGACGGCGGCTCCAGGCTCTGCCTCAACTCCATCAGCAGCTCTTTGCCGTCGCTTGAGGGAAGGTTTCCCAGGTAGTACTGAGGCGTGAGCTCCACCAGCCTGCAACACAGACGTCATCTTACTCTAAAGACAAAATAAAGAACCTAAAATCGTTTACGGGTGATTCAGCAGCCGTGAAACAGGCTGTAATGGCTGCCCTGTTGTTCTTTTCTCCCCTGACAGGCTCAAGTTGTTATTCAAGATTAAAAGTCAGGATCTCTAAAAATATGGACCTTTTTCTGAAGAGTGAGATACTTTTTCTACGTCCTCATTTTAAACGTCGCCAGACTCCATTGACAAAAACTGCAATTTAACCACACAGATCACCGTACACGCTGGTCTACATGTGCGTCCACTGGTTTGATTTTTTTGTGTTGATATCCAACGCAGGTGTTTTAAATGATAGCCTCAGTTCTTGTGTAACACAGTAAAACAAAAAATAACTCATCAAGGCAGCGGCCGACGAGCGACTCTCTGATCTGTAAAATTAGCGTTTTTGTAAATGGAGTTTGGCGGCTTCAGATGGAGCGACGCAGCGGCTTGTTCTGGTTTCAAAAAAAGCATCTTACAATCAATTTTAATTGACAAAAATGGCGTCAGTTTTATGTGAAGCACACAAAAAATAAAATGCATAAAAACAAGTAAACTCCTTTGTAACAGATAGTGACTTTAGTTTATCTTCAATCTGATCAAACCTGCAGGAACTACAAATCAAGTGACAGACTGACAGACAGGATGGACGCCTTCCAAGCGGGGGGCCCAGGTCTGTGGCTCCTTTCCCGCATGTCATTCCCCTCTCTCTCTCCCTGATTTCCAACCCCTTCCACTGTCCTTTCTCTCCATTAAAGGCACAAAAAGCCCCCAAAAATATCTTAAAATAAATAATTAAATAAATCCATCAAACAGCGACGGCGTCTGACTCACATCTGAGGGTGGACTTCAGAGGCGATGCGGATGCAGTTATCTCTGGAGATGGTGAACTCGTGGTAGAGCACCCAGCTGGGGGGGTCGGGGCGCGGCTGTCGACACAGGTAGGAGGAGAAGGGGTGCAGGTGAGCCACGTGGCGGTGAGTCAGAAGGAGGTAGTTACCTGAGCCGTCCACGTCATGAGCCACCTGAAGACCAAGACAAAAACATGTACTGTATGACCAACAGCAAAGAGAGGAAACGCTGGAGGAGGTCTGCAGATTGGAACACGGCGTTTACTTTGAGGAAGAAGCCCGAGATGAGCGCTCTCTTGATGTTCGTACAGTTGTCTTGGCATCCAAACGCAGGAGGAGAAACAGGAAGCTCTATCCGCTGCATCACCTCCAGAAGCTCCGCCCTGATCACCACGGCCAATCGTAAGGCTGCTTGACTCAGGAAGTTCGTCGTGCACCACGCCTCGTCTTGATTATCTGCAGACACCACCCAGGGAACAATTACTACTTCAGTATAACATGCTAATAAGACCTCAGCAAGCGTCAGAACAGACTTCACAGTTTGGTTCCAAAGTTACATTTTGTTAAAGTAATGGAGGCTGGAGTATACGTACGCTCTATGAAGGCTTTATAAATATTAATGAGAGTCATGTGATCTCCCTCTGTGTGCATTAAAGGTCTCCAGTGAGTGACAGCTGCCTCCTCTCTGCTGGGGTCTGCTGTCACGAAGCACGATGGAGCTAAAAGAGGAGAAAGAAATGAGTAAATGTTAGTTCTTGTTTTTATATCTTAAAGTGAAATTCTGACAGTTTTAACCTCGATTATATTTTTACACATTTTGAGCTTTAAAGGAGCAATATGTAACTATGACACCTAGTGTTTAAAATGGGTACTGCAGTCTGAATTTAAAACATTGTAGAGAGCTGTCTCCCCCCGCCTCCTCCTCTCTAGAGTCGATGTTCACTCAGGTCACCATGTGGTGGACCCTGAAGCTTCAGTGTTTATCCAGCTCTGCATCGGTCTGTAAACCTTTCTGTGTTCTAACCTCTCTCCATTTTTCAAAAGCATCTCCAATATTGATCCTAGTTTGAGCACGTTTCTGCTCGTGGAGCTTATTAGAAACACGCAGAGGCTTTTTAGGTCGGGTACAATCACTTCTATCTGAACCACTTCTCTTGCTTCCATCACTGCAACACCTGTTGGTTTGACCTGATAACTGCTCTCATATCTGGTAAACCGAGGGGTGTCCAAAACGGCTGTGTGGGGGGGGCCTTAAAACCACCTACCTTCTCTGGTCCAAACAAATCCAGACCATTAAGGACCGTGACTGTATTGAGTAGGGGGATAGCAAGTCAGAACTCACCTGTTCACCTTTTGTTATCAGTGTAAGAGAGCGTGAGCTGGGTCACAAACGTTTTTGTTGACTACTATTCTCTGATAACTTTGACTTTATGCACATTAACATGAGTAGATTATATTAGACCCCTTAATGTGCACACAGCACATTTGCAGAGTTCATTCTCCTGACCCAACAGTTCCATGGTTCACTTGTTTAGCCACCTGTTAGCATAGCAGCGATAGTGAGCAGCTCATCCACACAGTCGTACTCGCAGGCGGCGATCAGCGCTTTGGCCAGCGACGGCTCCAGAGGAAGTTCGGACATGATGATGCCGACCTCGGACAGGTTCCCATCATCATCCAGAGCTGCCAGGTAGTCCAGGTCCTCCAGGGCCTGCATGAGGGCCTCAGGGGCTGAGCGACAGGGAGAGAGAGAGAGATAGAGAAGTAAACATGGAGGACAGAGAAAGGAAGGTGATGTTCTCGGACTTGGAAGTGTAGATTCAAAATCAGCAAAAAGTCTCTTTGCTGCTGCTGCACACGTCATTGATCGTGATCAGATGAGGCAAGAAGGAAGTTAAATATTTGAGGCACTTCTCTAATGTCAATGAACTGCAGCAGACAGGGTTAAAGGTAGAAACAAGTTTTATCTCTATCACTGTTTGTGTCTGTATCTCTCTGTCTGCAGCTATATGACATCACCACGGACACATCAGGCGTTTAGTTTTGGTGTAAATGTACGCCTGTATGCTTAACGTCGTCTTCTGTTTGCTTAAAATGTTCTCACATATTACACATATTAAACTTCTAGAGAATTTCAGGAGGACGGCTCCTGAAATCGTCCTGATTTGGCCGTTCACACATATGCACCAAACCAGCATGAAACTATCCCCGTCATGTAACTCTTTAATGAGAATGTTTGTTTTACTGACAGTAGTTCATGAAGGTACCTGGTCTGTCCAGGAACTTGCACTGTCCCATGTCGGCGATATCTAGTCTCTTCAGCAGCAGCACCAAGTGGCTCAGGTTCTCCTCCATCACCCCCGGACAGTGAGCCTCCCCCATCCCCTCTTCATACAGAGACGGAGGGTAGAGACGGAGACACAGCCCTACAAGCAGAACACCAGGAGTTATGGTGCAGATAATTAGCAGAGAGACTGTCCTGTTTAAAATGAACCAAAATAAAAACTTTTAACAGCTAAAGCTTTCATTCTTTTGTGTGTAGAACTTAAATGCTTCTGTCTTACATCCTTACTTCAAAGCTTTTTATTGGCGTCATTAGGTTATACTGCATGATGTGTAAAATGCAGTGAAGACGCAGCAGCAGGGGGCGTCTATATGTGTCACCGGTCAGGGCCGAGCAGGCTTAAAAATCAGCTGATTCTGGTCACCCACTGATCTATTGATGCACCTTTAGACTGAACTTTTCAGTGGCAGAGCTCTAAGGGTTAAAAAACTACACCAAGTTGATTTTGTCCTCCATGCTTTAGAACAGCTGACAGAAAATGTCCCTCTTTATCCTACCACTAGGGGGAGCCAAAGTGAAACCTATTTAAAGGCTTCATCCAGGGTCTGACGCTGTTGAACTGAATCCACAGTTTCACCTGAACAGCAGCGGAGTCCGCTGACCTACCTGGGAGGTGGCTGTTCACTCTTTGGGTTCTCATGTCGGCCTGATGTTTGCTGATCGCCCTCAGCACCTGAGAGTTGGCTCTTATTTGTGGATTGTAAACCTGCAGCAGAACATCAGGGAGAAAGAAAAATAGTTTCAATGTTTCACCCTGCATTAAAATCAAAATGTTTAAATTATTGCACAGAGCTGATTTATGGTAGCTTCTACAAACATCCAGCAGAAATCCCCTCCGATAAGTGTCTTTATTTAGTTTTGGTTTATTAAATCACGGACTCACAGTTTTGAGTTGAAGGCCGGTGTCGATGACGTAGCGGATCGCTGGCAGGGAGAAAGAAGCCTCGGCGAGCGTGTCAGTGAGGAACACTTTCCTTCTGACTCCAGGTGGACCTCCGGCTCCCATCGCTGAGGCGTCCGAGCTGTCGTTCTCCCGCAGCGTGGAGGGGTCGGCCTCGTAGACCCGCTGGATCTGCCCGCCCAGCCCCGCATGGAGGGGGACCATCCTGAGCGCACCGAGCTGAGGACTCAGAGCCACACACTCCTTCTCCAGCAGGGACACACACTCCTCTGCTTCCTGCATGGATCAGATCAAAACAAAGACGTTTCATTTCATTTTTAATCACCCAACATTCACTGTGGGTTTATCTCAGCTGACACATGTGACTCACACACACACACTGCTCAGTCTTCAACAGAAACCAGGAGAGATGAGAGGTGAGTGTCGGGCAGCAGGAGGTGTGGTGATGTTGACTTAGAGGGAGTTAAATGTGCATCCTGCTGAGTTTAAGGTCAATATGTACTGAGAGCTTTGCACATCATGGATGGCGAACACACAACAGATGTGTGTGTGGCTGCATGTGAACCAGGACACCAGACACCTGCAGACTCTAGAGGACTCTCAGGTGGAGGTGTTCTCTTTTTAGTCCTCTACAAGACAAAGGAGGTGAAACTCCACAACACAAAAGTGTGAAGAATGCTTTGAAAGGTTTTTTTTGTTTGTGTGAAATGAGATCCAGACCGATAGACAGTTTAGCAGGTAATAAGTAGAGAAGGTAGACTGACACCTAATTATAGTGTTTCTAAAATGTGCTGACTTCTTAAAGACCACATGATGTTCTCTTAACGTCCACAGGTGTCATTAAAAAACAACCATTTTCTGCTCAAACCACATGCTGATTGTTTTTGCTGACTTTCAGTCAAACTACGATATTCTGAACAGGATGTGACTCCAGAACAACTGAAGACCTCTGTGACCTTTTTGAAATGTAAAAAAGAGTTGCATGAAACGTGTACCTGTGCACTGGCCAGAAACACCATCACGTCTCCTTCCTCCCCCCTCCTGTGCAGATCCAGCACCATGTGACACGCAGCAGAAACCGGTTCCTTCCCAGCGGAGAGCTCCCGGTACAACGTCTCCACCCGGTTCGCCTCAACAGGCCTCTGCTCCTCCTCTTCCTCACGCCCCTCTTCATCTTCATTAGAAGGGGGGACACCGTCCAGGCTGAGGTGAGGGACCGACGGGCCCAGGAAGGCGGAGAGGCGCGGAGCCAGCGTCGGGTGAGTGAGCAGGACCACCCTGAAGTTATCGGGTCTCTGCCTGCAGACGTCACACAGCAGACCCAGCAGCACGTCGGTGGGAACCGTCCGCTCCTGCAGCTCGTCCAAAACGACGACGCCGTACTGATGCAGCAGGGGGTCTGACATCATTTCCTCCAACAGGAGGGTGTCGCTGACAAACCTGAGGAGAGGGAAACCAGGACATTTGAAATAAAGAAAGATTTCTGAGTGATGGGGCCAGACACATTTAAATAAAAACCTGAAAGGCAGAATAGATGAAAGCGGAAACTTTTCTTTATAATTTACTAATTATAGAGTGCAGGAGAGGACACGGGGATCATTTGTCTCAGCTAAATCGCTTTCACTCCCACCCTGGACAAGGACCCTGCAGGGGATCAGAGAACAAAGAGTCGAGGTGCGGCTGCAACAATATCAGAGTAGACTCGTGTAATCCAATGAAGCCGTCGACATTACCACAGGGAGGAGAGGACTATTGTATATGGTACAAATGAGGTCAGAAAATAAAATGGGGCATGACTCCTTTCCCAACAATTTAGACAAAAAGAAAATCCCCAGGAGGAACTTCAGTTTTTAAAACCAGGACAGGTTTCCACCATGTGGGACGTTAGAGGCAGAGATGTAAACAGCCACTTGGTTGGCTGAGAGATCCCCTACCTGAGCATGGTGTCAGGTGTGCAGCTGTCATCATGAGACACTCTGTATCCGACCTCCAGGCCCAGACTCAGGTCCATCTCATCGGCGACACGCAGAGCCAGACTCACCGCCGCCACCGAGTACGGCTGAGAGCAGCAGACCAGACCCTGAGAAAACTCGTAGGACAGAGCGAACTCTGCACACCACTGAGGAACCTGCAGGACGAAGGAGGAGGAAGAGAATTATGTTTTTTGATACTTTCTTTTTATTGATATTTTCAGAGTAAAACAAGACAAAGGAAAAGAAGGGAATAAAAAAGGAAAGAAAAGAAAAAAAGGTAACCTGGGCCATACATCAGTCAAAATACACAAATCAGGGTTTTTCAATTAAGATGAGTTACATTCCGTACAGTACATATTCCATTTCTAGGAGCAAGAGAATTTAAAAAAAAAAAAGGTCAACAAAAGCAGGAAGATGTGACAGAATACAGACCCTAAAATAAGTCACTCAAGTCTGACAGCTTCCAGCTTTTGTTCGGATCTCAAATCGACTCTGAAGAGCAAAATAAAAATGAGCCCCAAACTAAAATAAACAAATAACGCCACCTCCTTCCCCTTTCATGTGCTCATCTGAACCTCTGTAAATATAGAGAATATAGATGAAACAAAACGCTGACTAATCTAAAAGTCAAACAAAAGGAAACTAGTTTCCAAATATTTTATAAATAGATGAAATGTTCAAACATGTTCCGGGCAAAAAGTGAAAAGAAGGAACAACAATCTGCACACCAAGGACAAGGGACGCTTGGAGCCTAAATTTAGAGAAAACACTCGACCTTGGACCAATGTGAACCGCTATTGTTTACAACGATAGTCGAGAAGGATGGTCACATTGATCAGGCTACACGTCATGTCCAGGTTGTGTACCCGTGCTTGTATTCCCGCAATAATTGAACCGAGCCAAAGGCCACATCATCCAGCCGTGTCAGGGGAAAGGAAGTGTACCGTGCTTGAGCAGGGATTGAGTACTCACACCGGTCAAACAAACTGGACTTTGGTGGTCAAACCTGCTTGGGCCCGGTGAGGATTACCTAGTGTGAGCGTACAGAGAGGATGCTTTTTCAGTAGGATGAAGTTTAAACGCTGCAGGTGGAGGTGCAGGGAAGAGATCCCAGAGTGTAATGAAGTGAGAGTTCAGGTTACAGCGGTACCACAGTGTAAGGTTTAATGTTCTGTTCATTATCCGCCTGAGGGGAGTGAACCCAGGAGCTGCCGTCATGAGAACCAGGACACCACAGGGAAAGTTCAAACACAACAACACACACCTCTGCACACTCTGTCACCGGTTGGTTGTAGGATATTTTACTTTGAGGCTGGCAGGAAAAAGTCCAGATAAAGTCGGCAAAAAAATCCGGCTTTTGCACCTGAAGCTCACCCTGAAACTCTCTGGGAATGTGTGTATGTTTAAATGTTATTTTTTAACCTACACCACATGCTTGTGTGTGTGTGTTACTTCCTGGTTACCTGCGTGCTCTTCCCCGCCCCGCTGGCTGCACTCAGCAGCACCATGTTGTGGCCCTCCAGATGCTCCAGCAGACTCTGCCTCAGTCTCCACACCGGAGACTTCCGCCTTTCCTCCAGCAGAGAGTAGTACCGTGAGGAAAACGGTAAACCATCGTACGGGTTCACCTCCAGGTCTCCCAGCCCGTCCTCCTCCCCTCCTTCTCCTCCATCGTCTAAATCCCCCGAGAGCAGGGACGACACGGAGAGGGAGTCCAGGGCGGTGTAGGGCGGGAGACGAGACCCGGGGGAGAGGGAGGCGGCAGGGGGGTCTGCTGTTGGTGATGACATCAGCAGCAGGGGGTGGGGGTGAAAACGAAGCGTGCTTCACAGATTACCTGGAGAGAGAAAAGGGGGACAGGTGGGGTTAGACATTTCACCTGCAGTGTATCAGTGTACCAAAGACTAGCTAGCTTAAAAGGGTAAAATGACTCGGAATAATTGAGCTCCGGCTGATCGTTTGCTGTCACATCTCTGATTCTCTTCTTATTTACTGATGCACTCGGTTATAAAGCCGATGGGTTGATATCTCTGTTACTGACGGACTCTGTTCTCAAACACATGCTCGGTTGGCTGCAAACAAGGGCCAACTGAGCATGTGCAAGTGTTGATACACACTGCAAAAAAAAAAAAAAAAAAAAAAAACTTGCCACAGACGTCATTGATGGTCTAACATTCAGCTGTCACTCCGGTGCAGAGCCTGTAAAATGGTGTTTTTGATTCTGATTCTGATACCAATATATTTCCCGCAGGGCTATAAGCCTTGAGCTAAGAGGTCAGGGGTCATACAGCGAATAGCAAAAATATTTTAGGTGCAATTCAGGGACGACAAACATTAAGGTATAATAGATCTCAGGGGCCACCTCATATCCTGTCTCTACCAACGAGGCCCTTCAGAGGAACCTGCAGCATGTCTGGTATTTAAGGGAGGAATGTCAGCTCCACCCAGACGCCATCGAATGTGAGTGTGTGTGTGTGTGTGTGTGTGTGTGTGTGTGTGTGTGTGTGTGTGTGTGTGTGTGTGTGTGTTGGACAGCTGCGACAGTGTCTTTGTAACACTGTGAAGTATTACTATTGCTGCTAGTATTGCTGCTGAGGTGAATGTCGCAGCAGGCCGTGCATGAATGAGGACGGCGGTGGTTGTGGGGACGACCGATGGCGGCGTCTCGGCGTCAGAGTCAGTCGTCTCTTAACCTGAAGGTCGGGGGTTCGATCCCCAGCTCCTGCAGCTACATGTCTGATGCCTTGACACCTAACCCCAAATTGCTCCCTCTGCTTCATCGGCATATGAATGTGTTTGAAATGCAGAGTCTCCAGTTAACCTAACGAGCATGTGTTTGGACTGTGGGAGGAAGCCGGAGTACCCGGAGAGAACCCACACATGCACGAGGAGAACATGCAAACTCCACACAGGGAGGCTCCTGTCAGACGGGGATTCAAACCAGGAACCTCCTCGCTGTGAGGAAACAGAGCTAACCACTGCAGCACAATGCAGCCTTACTCATCACAATAATTAAGAATCTCTTATTGTATTTATTTATTTCTATTATTCTCTCTCTCTCCTCTCTATTGCTCATCTAACACTTAAACCCTGAACCTGTCCATCCAGATCCAGACATGACTGTAACCATTACAGTTTGTCTGTCTGCTGTCTCTCTGTCCGTCTCTCACTTTCTTTTTGTTTCTTTGTCACTTCCACAGATTAAAAATGATCAGCATACATTGTGATTAATTTAACAGACTGTTGTTGTGGATGCATTAATTATGATTTTATAACCCTCCTTGGATACATTGAGCTTCTTTGTCATGCTCGTGCTGCACATGTCCTCCTATTATGTCTGGATTTAGGATTATCTATGATCCACCCATGGGTGGAGCCATAACTCCAGTTTATGTACAGGGCGATGAGCTATATATAGAGTTAACAAAGGACGCTTTTAAAGCTGAGTGTTTATTTTACATCAGGGGACAAAAAGCTTTTCATCATCGCTTTTTTTGTTGTCATCGTCATAATCATTTTTATATCACATTTATTGGTTAAATGTAAAACCTTTGTTTATCTGTTGGTCATAAATTAATGAGCTAATTGGATTTTCAAAATAAAATCCTTGACTTTCAGCCCACTCAGGTCGCTTTCTCGTATTTTCTTAATTTCTGCCAGGAGCGGTGTGTCAGCTGACAGTCACAGGCGGCCGATACGTCACAGAAAAACCACCTTAAATCAAACAATAAGGTCGTATAACAGTAATAAAGTGTACTCAGGTGTATCCGTGTCTTACCTGAGAAACATCAGGTGAATCAACAGCACCGACAGTCCGACCTCAGCAGCCCTCTGTTGTTGTGTCGCTTCACTCCGCTCCGTGTGACGCTACAAACCGGCTTCACATACCGGATAACGGCTCCACAGTCACCAGGATATCATGAAAAGGTAGCTCCACAAGTCGCTGTCCGTAAATAATTACCAATTCCGGTAAAATGCCTGTCGATAATGATGGTTAGAGACGCAGGTGTGAGGTGTCCACTGCTTCTTTTAGCTAACAGCCGCCATGTTTGCCGTCGAGCTGTCAAACGTCGTGCTGCGTTCAGGGCACCTCGGAAAAATACACACCATAGGGATGTGAAATATTATTTTTTGCCGATTATTAATTTTTTTACGGAAGAGGAATAGGGCCAGGGCCAGACATGAGGAAAACATTTTAATGATTGAAGGATTTTTTTTTTTTTCTCCATTATGCATTTCGAGAAAAAAGTCGTAATGTGGGGGCCTCGGGAGCCTGGTGTGGTTGGTTTGCACGGCCCATGTGTGGGGGGCTGTGGTCCTCCAGGCTGACGGCTCAGGCTCGGGCCTGACCTGTGGCTCCTTTCTCACATGTCGTTCCTCACTCTCTCCCTGATTTCGCACTCTATACACTGTCCTGTCTGTTAATGGGGGCATGAAATATAACTAAATACATTTTAACAGTGAAATAGTGACAGAGGTGTGCACTGAGGGACACGGGAGGTACTGCAGAAGAGAACCTTTGTTTTGGTTTGAGAGACTGATGCTGAAGTGCATTTTATCATAAACTTCTAAGAGTCGCCTCCTACTGGCCATTGGAAAGAATACAGGTTTGAAGCACTTGCATAGGCTTCACCTTTTAAGTCAAAAGACTACAACCAAGGATATGAGGTAAAGAGTTTATGGGCATTTTCAGACCGCAGGAACTTTTTCATAGTTCTAAGAACTGTTGGAACCCCTCCCTTTTTTTAATTGATTCTGCACTGCAGGATCTATGAACTATTTTAGTTCCTGGAATCTCGAAAGTCAGAAAAAAACTCTCCACGGTGTGTTGTTCTCTGGGAACTTCCCAGTGGATAGTTCCTCTTTTATAGTCCCCAGAACTGTTTGGTTTCATCATTTAGGTATTAACTATTTAAAAATGACACAAATCCAATTTTTGACGAGAGATTTTGAATCTTTTAAAAACATTTTTGAGACAATTAAACTTCCAGAAGAGTGCATGGTTTCATTGTTTCACATTTATTTACATTTGACTTTAATGATAAAGATGAAACATTGTGAACTGTTGGATGACTGCATGAACAAAAAAGATGGCCTGATTTTACGACACTTAAGACCAAAGTCCAAAAGAGAAGCAACAAGAGAGTCTTTGTCGACCCAGATAAGAATGTGCAGAGATCAAGGACGAGCTGAGAGAGTCACCTGACCTCCCCTTTAAACTCTTCTTCGTCTACTTTTCTAAAGAATAATTTTTTTAATCAGCTGTAGTAAGTCCCGTTGGTTTTCCTCACTGCACTCACAGACTGGATCTGCTCTCTCAGTCTGTGCTCCCAGTCTTTGCACCAGTTCTGGCTCCGCTCCAGGTTCTGGTAACGAGTCGCCAACTTGTCCAACGCCAGCACGGCCTCAGGTAGGTCAAAGGTAAGGCCCGCCCTCTGCACGGCTGTCTGGAACTTGGCTGGAGAAGCCGTCGCGATGTAACACCTGCAACAAGAGATTTAGTAGAAGCTTAGGATCTCTCCCACTTTAAGTCAATTTTTTGACCTCGGGCTAGTGACAGAAACAAAAACTTGAAATGGACTGAAGCACAGAAAGATAATGCTGCAGCCATTGAAGCCTGTTGCACTGCTCCTGTGAAGAGTAATTCCCAAACTATTACTCTTTAAGACCCAAAATTACAAAACAAATTCCTTCTGTAGTTATAGACGCCCTGATTATCTCTGCCATGAAGTCAGATATCTCTGTTTATACAGTAAGTGGTTGAACTGATGGACACAGTATATTCGACCTGTTGATTTGGGCGTCATGAGGACAGTTGTAGTGATGCCAGACAGCCACAGCTGTGTGTGGACACAACACATACTGGTTCTCCTCCCAGCACCTCCTCATGGTCTCCAGGATCCCGTCATCACTCACTGAGCCTGTCGACAAAACCTGTGACAGCTGAAAACAGAAGGAAAGATCAGGACAGGACAATCCTCACAGGGTAGATCTACGGTATATAACCGTCTGGACGTAAAGAGTAACAGTACCAGTTTGTGTTGGTTGGCAGGCAGAGAGTGTCGGTGTGATTGTTGAAACTCCTCCATCATCGTCTTCACTGCAGCGCCGTCTTTCCCCAGCAGCAGCCAGAACACTCGCTCCATGTTGTACGGGTCCTGAAAGAGACCAGAAAAGGGTTTTCTTATACTGCCATGCTATTGTCATGTTTTTTATTGACTGTAGGTGTCGCTATAAGACGACAGCTCAGGTAGAAATTGTAGGAAGTCACTCTCCAGGTGCAGGTGTTGGAAGGGCTAAACGTTTTTCACCGCTCAAGCTGCGAGGTTTGCTGTCATTGTTGACTTCGCTGTGCCTCTAGATTCATAAAGAAAGTTACTGTCAGCCAGCTCATTCCTGGATCAGGTGTCTCAGTAGTTCAGTACTAGACTGACCTCCTTTAACCGGTCCTAAAAAACACAAGTCAAGCACCGAGCATACTTGTGCCCTAATTCAGTGGTTCCCAAAGTGAGGGAGGGGATCCCCAAAGGGGTCGCAAGACACTGGGAGGAGGATCGCGAGATGCCCTCCAAAAACAGATACAAATGTGACATGACCTAAAATTGCATTTTACCCATTATTGTGAAATAGTTCTTAAAGGTCCCATATTATGCTTTTTCTGGTTTTATATGCTCTTTAGTGTGTTTTCCAAGTGTCCTGTGCATGTTTAGGCACATCTATGTGCAAAAATTCAAAGTCCGCGGAAACGCGGCTTCTCCTACCTCCTCCTGTTAGCTGTAGCATTAGCTGCATGTAACGCTCGGTTCTAGCCCCCCTCGATAAAAAATTTGTCAGTGGGGCATCATTGTCAGTGTGAGATCACTGATCTAAGCCCATTGGCTCGTTGTGGCAAGCCCTGCAGCTCATGTTGAAATTTCCAAGCTGAGTGCTGAACAACTGACCAATAACGACAGAGAGGATCGGCAGACCAATCAGAGCAGACTTGGCCCACGTGGGGTCCAACAGTGGGGGCTCAGCAGAGCGTAGCTGACGGACTCAGAGCGTAGAGGGAGCAAGGAGGAGCAGTACATGAAAACAGATGCTTTTTTCAGACTTTATCTATTGTGAACGTACAAAAGTAGGTACATAGATTAAATATACGAACCACAAAAAGGACATAATATGGGCTCTTTAAGTGAGATTTGTGCTGATCGGGGGTAGCATTCACACCCGTTAGATCGGACTCTTGCTCCACCTCGTCCCACTCCCTCATTTTCAATGAGCGAAGAGAAGAGAGAAAAACAGAGAGGAGATGAAAAACTTTCTCCTACCTGTAAACACTTAGGGAATTATTTTTCTGTACCTGGATGTCTATGGCTGGAGCCAAAGTCTGTGTGACGCTAGCCGCCATGGAGAAGTCACCGCTGGTAACCGTCCTGTGCACGATGTCGTTTGAATTCACCATGGCAACCAGCTTCAGGGGCAACCCCATCTGCTTCACTATGAAGCCAGCTGACACACACACACACACACACAGACACACACACAGACACACACACACATACACACACACACACACACACACACACACACACACACAGACACAGACACACACACACACACACACACACACACACACACACACACACACACACAGACACACACACACACATACACACACACACACACACACACACACACACACACACAGAGACAGAGAGAGACTTAAGTCAGTTACTCATCTGAGTCAGAAAATTAGAAGCTGGGGCGTCTGTAGCCTAGCGGTTAGTTTGTGGGCCCCATGTACAGTACAGAGGCTACAGACCCTTAAGCAAGAGCCCGGGTTCAAATCTTACCTGTTGCTCCTTTCCTGCATGTCATTCCCCACTATCTCTCTCTCCAGTTTCCCACTCTGTCCACTGTGCTCTCTACAATAAAGGCATACATTTTTTTTTTTTTAGACGCCAACAAACGACTGAACCTACCTGCGATGTTTCCCGCCCCTCCTGTGGGCACCACCACCTCCAGCTCGGGCAGGTCTCCGTCAGCCTCCTCCGCCTGCTGCTGCACGCCGCTGAGCTGCAGGTAGGCGTAGATGAAGTGAGCGAGCTGGACCATGATTCTGGACCAGTTCACAGAGTTCAGACTCATGAGGCGGTAAGACTTCACCAGATCCTGATCCGCAAACAGACGCCGCAGAGGCTGGTCGATGTCGTCCGAGCTGCCGTCCGCTACGGACACACACAAAAAAAAAAGAAACGACCAGCGAGTGTGAAAAATGGAATACATAGCTTTGTGGTTAAACAGCATCTTTTACTCCTTTAACTTCACCTGCGAACACGTGGACGTTATCCTCCAAACAGGTGATCATGTGTTTCTCCTGAACCGGAGTGATTCGTCCTCGAGGATAAACCACGACCACGTCCAACCCGCACAGACCTTTAGCGCTCTGGATGGCCGAGCCGCCGGTGTCTCCTGACGTTCCTGCAGAGGGGAAAGATGTGACACTCTGCATGCTCCTGATGCTCATGAATGTTATTATTTTACATTTTTAACCTCGAGCCCGACAGAACAAACAGCATGATGTCGGCTTTTCAGTTTCCATTCTTAGCCGGATCTTACATGGAGCCCCAGGTGTTGGTTCTTACCTACAACCACAGTCGCCCTGTGCTTCTCCTTCTGCAGAAAGTAGTTGAGAAAGCGCACGGTGCAGGTCATAGCCAGGTCCTTAAAGGCCAGCGTCTCTCCATGGAAGAGCTCCAGGACTGACAGACCCCCCTTCAACCGGGCGATCTGGACCACCTCAGGCACCGAGAAACCCGACAGAGCTTCACCCACCAAGACTGAGACAGAGGATGGAGGAGAGGGGATTATCTTTTGTTCTTTATTTTGATAATTGTTCTGCCTCGTGTTGTAACTTAATTGTCTTTTTATAACTTTTCTTTGCTCGACTTGTGAACAGGTTTCCTCTGCTCACCCTGCAGGTCGTCTCTGGGGATCAGCTGAGTGGGGATGAACAGCGAGGCGACCTCCACCACCAGCTGGGTGTAATCCAACCCCCTCCATCCTCTCAGGGTCTCCGGGCTGAGCACAGGTACGCTCTCGGGCATGAACATCCCCCCGTCGGGAGCGAAACCTGAAAGCAGAACATCCCGGAAGTCCCACCCACAGACCCCGCCCCGAGTGCTGCAGTAGTGCATCGGACCTGCAACAAAAGAAAGGAGAGCGTTAAACACAGACATGCTCCATGCTCTGTTATAGAGCCCGACCGATTTAGTTTTGCTCTGCCTCTGGTCACTTCCTGTCAGCACCTGTGCTCTGCCTCTGGTCACTTCCTGTCAGCACCTGTGCTCTGCCTCTGGTCACTTCCTGTCAGCACCTATGTGTCCAATCAGACTGAACCTGTTCGTTTGCACTTCCTGACGTTGTTTCCTTCTCTCTAGGTCCTTGTTATGGACGCAATCTAAACTGCTTTGTTCGGTGCACTCATGACTGACAGTGATGAGGACAGAAGCAAGACTCTAAAACAAGACTAACAAGTCAAGAACGAGACCTTATACCTTCACACAGACGTGGCAAACTGCAGGTGTGAGCGGTGTTGTTGCAGCATGCGCCTTGTGTTGTGTAACGCTGTAAAATTGTGTGAATGAATGAAACACTCGACTCCGTCCATCAGTCTGAGCAGCCCTTTCTTTCTGTGCTGTAATAGTTAAGCGGTTGTAATGATGACTCTCCATGAGGTCACAGTCTATACAGTCGATGAACCTTATGACAGCAGCTCTGGGTTTAAGACGCCGTCACACAGACTGTAACACCCCTCTGACATGATAACACAGAGCATACACAACACTTACCTGTGTGTGGTAAAAAGCTTTGAGACACAACTCTTCTCTCTTGAAGTTCTCTAAAAGACGCACGTCTTGTTACTCTCTTCCAGATGGCTCAGCCAGTTTTACTTCGACTCTACAGAGATGAATATTTACGAGCTGTTGATCGCACTGAGGAAGATAAAACTTGAACTTGAACTTTGAAACGACCTCCCCGAGGATAATCCAGGTTACGTACTGTTTGACTGAAGATCTTCTGTGTGTGAACTGGTTCTTTATCTTACAGAACATGTACTTAAAGGTATAGCATGTAGAATTGTATGACAATGTTTACATTCATATATCAAGTAGCTGACATTATTGACAGGCGGAAGCGATGTTACGGTTGGTAGTAAAGGTTTAAAGGGGACATATTATGAAAAATCTGCTTTCACACAGAGAAAAATGCTCCGTTTCAAATGTGCTCTCCTTGTGATGTCACAGTGGGATTCTGGTTAAAAAAAAATCTCCTCCCCTCCCCTGGTATCTCCACCCATGGACTCCACCCCCAGCCTAGAACAAAACTTTTGGGCAGTTCCTCCATTTTTATTCTCGCTATTAAAGGAGTGACGTCTACAGGGAAAATTCAGGGGGGGCTCATTGCATTTAAAGAGACACACACACCAAAACGGAGCGTTCTGAGAGAGCTGGTTTATACAGGGTCACAAACCTCCTCTGGTGCTTGATTCATGTTATATTTTGACCAAAGCACAGCACAGATGTTTCATTTAGACTGCAGGGGGAGTGTTTGAAAAGGTAGAAAAGGGGGATAATATGTCTTCTTTAAAACCCGCCTCAGCTCCAGCGCTGAAAGTGTTCTGCTGTGGAATTCTGTTTTCTAAAATGTAAATTTGTCTCAACATTTGTAAAAGTGTTTTGCATTTTGTCAGTTTGTTTTGCTCTTCACAGCCACTGAATTTTGCGGTTACTTTTAAATCCATATCAAATTATATTTCACTAAACATGGCAGATCATGCATCATGCTCATAGACTGTAAATATAACGTAACAACTGATGTAAATGTTGCAACTAGCGAAGCTGCTTATTAACAGAAAAGTGGGACTGATTCTTAGAAACAGAATAGTCTGCTAGTTTTTTTTTTTTTTTTTACATCGGAGTTACATTTCTTACAGCCGCTTCTGTGAAATGTTTTTCCTCTGAGAACACTTTAATTTATTTCATTTTTCAGACTGTGGTGAAATTAAAACAGGTCTTCGTATCACACGGGTCATTTTTGTCGAGTTTGACAGCTACTAGCGCTACTAGCTTACCTTAGACGATGTGACAACAGCTGCAAACCGGCTCTATCACGTCATCCCATTGGCTAAGGAGGATGGTGGGCGGGACTTGTGGTGCGTTCAGGTTCATCAGAACAAAGTGGACGTCGAAAATTACAATCGTTTTAGTTCGTTTTAGACCTCAGTGATGGTTGTTTAGTCTTACAGATAGAGGATTTATTTTAAATAGCCTAATAAACATTTGTTTGATTAAATTAATGCAATATTTTCAGATACATTTCTTTAACTTTCTTTGGTGGAGCATCTAAAAGAGAAGCAAAAATGTTATTGTCTATAAATAAAAAATATTATTATTATGGAAAGATTTTTAAAATGATATAACATGCAACACCACATACTGTATGATTGTCCAATATGGGGGATATTAGTCTTATACTATTTGAATGTAATAACAATTCATCTTCACTCATCCCCATGTTCAGTTATTTTCTGACTGTAATTCATAGAATATTTTACCTTAAAGGTGCACTATGGAGTTTTGATAGAAAAATGTGAAAGCTGGAGAAATTTACAGATTCTGTGGTATATGTTCACCCAGACAGATGTATGAATCCCCGGCTGATTCCAGCGCATTAACAGGCTTAATTACACCAACCGACACAGAGACGTTTCGTTTTTACCATTATTCATTTTAATGCACGTCTGCAAACAAGTAAAAACATATATACAAGTTTTTAACACTGGAGACGATACAAAAATGTGCTTACAAAATTCTGAACCATGCAAATAATTGACATAAGACGTAAAGAGTTAAGTGAACTCCATCCCCCCTAAACACACACGCACACACACGCACAGATAGAAATAAATATACATTAGAAAGAGGAGCATGTGGAAACCATCAGTGAGTAACAGTCCCTCAACAGTAAAACATATTCAACCCAACACGTCTGCAAACAAAATAAAATACCATCAAACGCAAAAATTTGTTTTGGTCTTTGAACACCTCTTCTTTCTTCCTCGACCTCTTTAAAGTGAACAGACGATTATAAGACGCCAAACAAGAAGATTCACTGCACACAAGAGGGCTGAGCTACTTCTTCTTTTCTATTTAAATACATACTCAAACAAACATCGCGTTTCTCCAGCACGGCTCAGTGAGTTTGTAATAAATCAAAAGAAGACGAACTTCAGCCCTCGTGTGTGGTGAATCTTCTCACTTGGTGTTCAAGACGATGCTTCCTGCCATCACATGCACCGAGATGTAAGGACTGACAGTGCCGTGCACGGGACTCCCATGTTTATATGAGAGTATCAAGAACATTTAAAATAGGGTCCGACCGATATTTGGGGAGGAAAAAAAATCTGATACCGAAATATCAGCCGATATCTATCTTTGATCTGTAGAGATAAATAGATATACACATTTATTGTGGTGATCCCTAAAATGCAGTTATCAAACTCTTGTGGAAAAGATTTGTAATGAAGACAAGATGGTCACTCAACTGGAAAGTAACTGAGCATGTACGTACACCACCGCTCGACACTCTGGAGAGTGATGATGCTTGTTGTAATCCATATAGCGCCCTCTGCTGGTGAGTGAAACTCAAATAAAATGCTGTTTGACTGGGGAATAATTCTAGTTATATCGGTGCATATTTGTGATAAAATTAGCCGATACCAGTAGTCACTGGATATGTTGATATCGGCCGAAATTATCGGCTGGCCGATTAATCGATCGGGGTCTAGTAATTAGAGATCGCTATGGTACACTGGTTGATGTTTGGCCTCCTCAAGAAATAAACAGAAACTTTGCTAAAGTGACACACAAACAAATGTTTGCTCCTCTCTGTTAAAGATATAGAGTCAGTCTCTTTGCAGTTAAAGTGTGATAGTTTTATAAAGAGCGATAGGAGTTTGTTAGTGTTTGTTTGAGGCCTAAACTAAGAGCAGGTGATTCAGAGATATTACCATGTGACCTTTGACCTCGAACATGAGCTTTAAACTTTGTGTTTCTCGTTAGTTGCATTTTCAAATCACTCAGGGAGACGAGTTGAACTTTTTAAAAACATAAATCTTACATGGTTTGTTTTGATCTGCTCGTAAATACGGTTCAAACAAAAAGAAATACCTCCTACTGTTTAATACTTCAGTCCCTAATATTTAAAAGGAGCTTTTTACTGATGTTAGTCAGACATGTTTTAGGATTGAAGTCAGATGGAATCGAAAGCCCTGTACAGACCCTTTCAAGCTGCGACTGGTAGATTAAAGTGTATACATTCAAATCTCATCCAGAACACAACGTGCACAACACAAGATGAGTGAAGAAAAGACACGAGAATCAACAGCGTGTGAGGAGCTGTGCTGTCGTTCACACTGAACATTATGAGGCTTAACTAAAGGTTAATCTACACTGTTAACCTCAAGCTAGCTTACCCATTAACTCAAAGTTAACAAGGGTTTTATGTCATTTAAAAAAAACAGCAGCAGCAGGGCCGTGTACAGAGAGAAACAGGATTTAAGCTCAATCATTCATTCTACTTTAGCTTGAGAGTTGGACAAACACTAAGCTTCGTCTTTGGTTAAAAAAAAGAAGAAGAATTAATCAAAGATGTGAGGAGGTTTTTTTCAAGCCAGTGATCAACTTAAGGCAGAGTTGGTTATTTCCTCCAAATCCACTTTGGTTTTGGTTGAAATAGTCTTTAGGTCCTGAAAGAAATTAATAACTCATGTTCTCTGAAAAAGGAACGAAGAAAATCCATCATCTGTATCAGTTGTAAGTCTGTAAAAACTTGGACCAATGTCTGCCACGAGGTACCAATCTGATGAACCAATCAGGCGCCTCCCTGTCTCCCTGCCCGCTCTAGCTCACACTCAAAGCGATGGCGCTCGATGTAAGTGAGGGGGCGTGGCTTTAGAGGGAGCACAGAGAGGGGGGGGGATGTAGATGGCGCACTGAGGGAATGCTACTTTCAAAATCATGCTAGTTTTTGAAAATGACCAACCCTGCCTTTAAGAATACTGCAGGTAAATTAAAGAAGAGAGGGTTGACTCTGATATTAAAAAGGAAACATCGACCTCTTTTGAGGTGTGCCGAGGTCCCGTTCAAAGTTAGAAGAGAAAAAGTCAGATAAATTGGCCGATATCATTCTTGAGAATGGGCTTTTTTGAATGGGTGTGTATGTTAGTTTCCCACAATTTCCCAGTTTGGGATCAATAAAGTAATTCTATTCTATGTGCCTTCTGGAGCTTCTGCAGCCGGCCCTCTAGTGGACACTCGACGAACTGCAGGATTTTACACTTCCTCATTTGCTTCATTTTCCAACACCAGACATTGCCACTTTGTAGTATCTGATCATTAAGCACACATTAGTGACTGTTTCACTACGATTGAGAAAAATGTAAATTCCGGTCAGCGATAACATTCAATGTGAAACGCAGCACAGTTTCCTCTGATAGCTCTGAAACAGTCATGTGTTGTGCTAAAGTATAACGATGTTACGGGACAGAAGACGTGATAGAAATCATGATATCCAGAAGGTCACTCGTACGATATTCAACAGGCGTGGCCCATCACTTCATATTTATTTTATCCAGATGGAGAACCCCGTCTCCTGTTTCACATCATTGAACAGATAAGGCATAAATGTTTCATACAATAAAAACATTCAACTTCTAAAAAATAAAAAAAACCTTTAAGAATAAACATGCACTATTGCTCAACCCAGATAAACATTCTGCTCTTTCTGATG